AACAATGAGTATCCCATATAACTGGGTAATCTCTTCAATGGTAGTTAGATTCGATCCGCACATTTTTGACCAGTACAAGATATTTTCTTTATTTTCTTTAAGAATTCGCAACACTTCTGGTGATTCATTTTTGTATTTCTTGTAAGCAGCAGAAAATTTTGGACAATCAGCTAGCCCAAGTGCATAGTCCAATTTGACAGGTATTGTGTGAACTGGAATCGGTTGCCATGCAATATCCTCATGCCATTTCTCTTCAGTGTGTGGTGGAAATAGGCCAGCTAAATTGGCAAGTGCCGACATCAAAGTACGATCTATGTCTGTTGAAGCCGAATATTGCGTTAAACATATATTTTTCTACATGCTACGACAACGCCATCTCTGTTTCCCCATGTGTGTAGAGTATGTTCAATTGTTCAATATTGACAAATCATTCAAACGGGTCAATTTTGTACCGCAAAAATAGCTGTCATCGTGAAAATATGTCAACAATATTATTCATTGAAATTTTTGAAATTGACTGTACCGTGTTTATTTTTTAAAACAATTTTCAAATGCATATTTCTGTAAATCTCATTTCAAAGTTTTAAAATATTTGTACAATTCTACATAAATAATATTTTAAATTTTTTAAACTGAAAGGAAATTTTCAGCATAGAAACAGCTTCTGCTGCAAGACCAAAGATGTCGTTTTCGGGGGAGATTCGTGTGACGTTTTCATATAAAACATATAGCGCATAACTCGGTTAGTCTGTTGAATGCACGTACACCTTTTTCGGTGTATGTTACCACTACCTCATCAACGACGATAATGGTTATTATTTAGCTGTTAACAAAAGTTTTAATCTATTTTCAATTGTTTCCCATTAAAAAAGAAATCACAAATTGAAGTCCAATAAATTTTATTCATTTACTAATTTTTGAAGTTATCTATTCGTTGATTTATTAATACAGATACAATTCGAAATTCATTGAACATTTATCGCCATATCTAGTTGGGAAGGCGGCATTCAGTGTCATGATCACGATTAGGTATAATATCATAATACAATTTGTACAATTGATCCAGCGAACACTTTTCTCCACAATTCGGTATATTCAATGGCAGAAGGATTTCTTCGTCTGATTTTCTATAGAAGATTTGAATGAAATGCTTTTTTTCGCCAACTTTGTATAATTCCAAATGCAAACTCGATGCAAATGGTGGTACGTGCGGCTGTGAACAAACAAATATTTTAGAACAATATTACATGTTTTTTCCATTGAATTTAATTACTTTGAAAATTCCCAAGCTATTCATTAAGCCACCCATCCCAGTTTCGTGCGCTGAGTAGAACCACAATGAACGATTTGGCTCCAATGTTGAGTTTATCTTTTGAGCGAAACGTTCAAACATTTCTTTAATCAAAAATCCAGACTCTAGTCGAGCCAATTCATTGGTATTTGAAAATGTTGTAAACCAAAAATGAGCAATGGACTCCATAGCACCATTTGGTTCGATAGCTTTTTGTGCCCAACCAGGAAGTCTTCAAAATGGATTGAATGAATAAACACGGTTAGTTGAATGTGTAGTACTAATCGTTATTGCATAGCTTACGTTTTATTATGTTGCCTTTGAATATTAAGTATGTCATATACTTGGCTAATATCATCAATGGTGGTTAAATTCGATCCACACATTTTCGACCAGTACAAGATATTTTCTTTATTTTCTTTAAGAATTCCCAACACTTCTGGTGATTCTTTTTTGTATTTCTTGAGAGCGGCAGAATATCTTGGACAATCACCTGGTGCACGCAATACATAGTCCAAATTCGGAGGTATTGTGTGAACTGGAATTGGTTGCCATGCAATGTCTTCATTCCATTTCTCTTCAGCGTGTGGTGGAAATAAACCTGCTAAATTGGCAAGTGCCGACATCAAAGTACGATCCATGTCAGACGAACGCACGTACACCTTTTTCGATGAATATTTATCACCAAGCAGTTTATGATA